CTGGGAAGCGTTTTGACAGAGGATGGTAAGTGCGACACTGAGATCCGTGGACATATTGGAATGGCCAAGGACACATTCTAAAATCTGAGCTGAGTATTGCGAGACAGCAGGATTTCGTTGGTAACAAAGAAAAGAATACTGAGCTGTTACGTTGTCCTTCTTTACGGCAGCAAATGTTGGACGATTTCATCAAAGATGAAGAAGAGACACGAGACGGCGGAGATGTGGTTCTACACAAGGAGGCTAAGGATATCATGGACCGAGCGTGTGAGCAACGATGAGGTCTTAGAGAGGTTGCAAATAAGGAGGAGACATATTTAACATCAGGAAGAGACAGCTGAAATTTCTGGATACATAATGAGGAAGGAGTGTCTGGAGAATCTGATACTCACGGGTCGAATAGAGAGAAAGAAAGACGAGGGAAAGCAACGTGTGACATACCTGGCAGGCTTAAGCAAGTGGATGACAGAACATGGTCGGGGGGGGGGAGGAAGCAAAGGGAAGGAACTTGAGAGCTGCAAGGGATAGAGGGAGATGGAGAACCATTATTGTCTACCCCCTGAAAGGACATGGCACATAAAAAACAAAGAAATATACATCTACCGACATGGGAATTCAGGACTCTTAGTAAAGAAAATTTAAATACTTACGTTGGTCACACGTGTACCACACTGTCTTGTACGTTAACCTGTCGAGATTTAGGGCAATCTGTCTACATAACGTTCATCCCATGGCAAATAAACAAAATCCAGTCTACCACAGGTTTCAAACTTGTTTCCACCTTCTAGGGAAAACAACCGATCTGCTTTTTTACCACTCAGCCACAGAATTTTTATAGTCCAGCAGTGACCAATGTGTGTCGACCAAGAAGTAATATGATACATTTTCCTGAACAAGGCAAAACTAATAAAAGACATGACATTGGTCCGAATAATTGGCATATTGATTTGATTCTATTTAAACACCATAAAAGAAATCAGAGAAGTCTTTAACAGACCGGATTAGTCTTTTGATTATTAGCCTTTGTGGATACGATTTATATAATTCTGATAATTGTATAATCTGTAACCACAGACAGAATAATGGTCCACAGATGAAACGTCTTGATATAAATGCATCTGAGAGTCAAAATTAATGATAAGTCTGCTACCCACGAACGTATTGAAAGATTTCAATCGATAACGTCTAAAATTATATTTCGGTTACGATTTCCGTTTAGAAAAAACAAACTGCTTTGATAAGTTAAAGTTCTTTTTCATTTTTTACCGTTTTTTTAATTTTTTTATTTCATTTATGTTTTTAAACTTCCTGCATTTTGACCGACTTAGATTTGTATGCAGATTATATGACAAATATTTGGAGATCATAGAGTATCTAATCTTCGGATGTTTTGTATTTGTGCCAATCGTCACGACAGAGTGGGTAGATATTTACACTGGACAATGTGCAAAAAAGTTTGGGAAAGATGTCAATAAACACTTATGAACATCACCCAACACCGATTACCTAGATAGAAGACATCACAATTCTATAGGATTACACTATCTTTACAGACAGGCAGATTAAAGCAAATTGGTCTGATATAAATGACAAAAGCCGTAAAGAAAAACTTACCTACTAATTGGTATGGTTTGTCCAGCGGACCAAGAAATCGAAGTATAAAGTCCTGGAAATCAAAATAGAAAAAATGTGTAAACTAAAAACAAGAATAGTAACAATCATAGTAGGTGCGCTTGGAATGATAAAAAAGGAACACAATAGCACATTGAAAATATCCCTGGCAATCCCAGCCTAAAAGAAGTACAAAAAGTCTTGATAATTACAGCATACACTCTAGGAAGTACTTTGTCCATGTAACACTAGTGGTGTTTGAGAGTTAGAAAAACAAAACATGAAATGTAGCCATAATAACGCACTACAACCTGTTTTAGGTTTTCCAGCTGTCTTGGTAGGTAGTTTGAGTATAGCAGAAATCGAAATATAATAATAATAATAATAATAATATCAATGATAAAAACTTGCCTACTAATTGATATGGTTTGTCCAACGGACGGTAATATAACAATCAAGGAATTTGAAAAAACTATCGAAGTATAAAGACCTGGAAATCAAAATATAAAAAAATTGTTCTCCTAAGCATTTACACAAGCTCATTCATCTTTTATGAACTGTGTCCTTCCAAGGACGTTGGCGATTATGGCTCTTCACCATTTCCTGTCATTTGTAGTAAATTTTTGGAATTTTTGCTAAGTTTCCTTACCCCTGTTCTACAAAACATTTATACAAGCCCATTCTTTTTCTTCCAATAGCGTTGTACCTTCAGAACGTTGGCGCCCATGACTCTCCACAATTCCGTGTTCTTTGATTACAGAGATCTAGAAAACTGACATCCTTTACTCTGCGAGGATTCTCCTCAAAGATATGGAGTTGTAAGGAGTCTTGTTGACACCATGCCTTAAGAATAGAATTCCTATTGACTCCATCAATGTGCGACACCAAAATACTACTAATAATAATAATAATAAAATAATTGCAGCTTATACTAAATTAAAAGTTAGTTATGAACATCACCCAACATCGATTATAGAAATCGACGACATCACAATTCTATGGGATTACAACATGTTTATAGACAGGAAGATTGAAGCAAATAGGTCGGACATAATTGACAAAAACCGAAAAGAAAAAACTTACCTACTAATTGGTATGGTTTGTCCAGCGGACTGTAATATAGCAATCGAAGTATAAAGACCTGGAAATCAAAATAGAAAAAAGGTGGAAACTAAAACAAGAATAGTACCAGTAGGTGCGCTTGGAATGATAAAAAAGGAACACAACAACCCATTGAAACAATCCCTGGAAATGCCAGCTTAAGAGATATACAAAAATGTCTAATGTCTAATTCAGACAGATAACTGAAATTTTATATATAAAATTTCAGTTATCTGTCTGAAATGTCCATCGTCTTTTGTGTTAAATTGTTATAAGTTATAATGTTAATTATGTTTTAAATGAAAATGTCCATGAAGATGGTCTTAAATAGACCGAAACGTCCGACGTCGACTTTATTTTAACATTAATAATGCATATTCAGAATTTTGTTTTTTTCTGTATTTTTCTTTCACATATATATATATATATATATATATATATATGAATGGATTTTTTCCAACCCAACATTATTTTTTACTCTAAAAACGTTATTTTAGTGGAACCCCATTATTGAGTTGACGCTCTGACTTTTTTTTCAAAGTATTGTGAACTTAAACCGTGTTTTGATGAATTCTCCGAGTCAAAACTGAATGCTTTTCTATCATCGAGGGGCTGAACATTTAGTGGATCGTTGACAATAGGTTTTTTAAAAATGAAGAGGGTAATTGTCGAATCAGAGCTAGTAATACAAAATAAGTACTAAAATAAATAATAAAAAGGAGAGAATTTATGTAAAACCTCATAAATTCGATGCATACTAACAGAACTTTTACAATTTTTATTCAGATCTATGTTATCAAAGTATTATATGCAACTTTAGATGAATTTCCACCATTTTGTTAAATGGCGTTTTGTCAGTGGGTTATCACATTGCCAAAAACGAACTTTCTAATAAACATGAGGACAACAGTCTGAATAATGTAAATAGTTGTTATGCCATAGTACCTATTCTATTTTCATAGATAATAATAAGTAGGGTAGCAGTGGCAAGTCTGGCAGAATAGCGTCTCGCGGTCTTTGACTCACGCCTTGTTCTAACTCTCTGCGTTAGAGAGGAACGGACGAAGCTTTGCCGAAGGGCAAGGTTTCGTCCGGGGAGAATGAACAGGGCCTGAACCCGTCTAATCAAAGGCTATTTTTTTGGCCGAGCCTACGGGCTCAGAAAACATAAAAAAACCGGGCTATTCTTTTTTTTTCGCGGTCTTTGACTGCGGACGCCTCTATCTAACTCTCTGCGTTAGCGAAGAAGAGGGACTCTTTGCCGAAGGGCAAAGAACTGGGGCCTGAACCCCGTCTAATCGGTTCAAAAAGCGGCCTTGTGCCATATTCTAAAAATGATAAATATTTGCGTCTCGCGGTCTTTGACTGCGCACGCCTCCCTGGTCGAACCAGACGAGGCTTTGCCGAAAAAAATTTTTCGTCCGGAGAGGTGATACAGGGCCTGAACCCGTCTAATCGGCTTCAAAGGCTATTTTTTTTGGCCGAGCCTCTCTTTGTGCCATATTCGTTTACCGTGGGTGAAATGATAAATACCGAATGGCGTCTCGCGGTCTCTGACTGCTGCGCCTCCTGTCGAACTCTCTGCTAACGTAGAGAGGAACCCGGAAGAGCTTTGCCGAAGGGCAAGGTTTCGTCCGGGGAGGTGGACAGGGCCTGAACCCGTCTAATCGGCTTCAAAAGGCTATTTTTTTAGCTGAGCCTACGGGCTCGGAGAAACCCACGATAAAACCGGCCTTGTGCCATATTCGTTTCCCGTGGGTGAAATGATAAACACCGAATGGTGTTGAGCGCGTCAGTCGAGATTCGGACATTTGAAGTACCAACCATCACAACTAGATTGCTGCACCATTGACTCTTATTTTCCAAGTTCCTAACGTTTTGTACGTCGGACCTAATTTAGGACGACTTATTAGAAATACAAGCCTCCACTGTGAAAATACTCCACAACAATAGTGTAAATAGTTACAATACCTCATCTCAGATATATAGAGAGTTCTTTTTAAAATTTCCAAGAAATGCTGTAGGATCGCATATAAACGGCCTTGTGCCATACTCCTTTTATTCCGAGTGCCAAAAAATATCAAATAAAATAAATGCTTGCAATTACATTTCTTGGCAAATTTATAACCTGAAGCCGCCAATCGATAAACGGAAGATGCTTACGTAAGAAATCATATATCGATCTGCCGCTGATTTTTTTTCGATTTTTTCTTCTTCTTTTTCGCATTAATCGATCACGCCAGAAAGGACGAGACAGTTTATCAAAATATAAAAAAAGATCAAATGTAATGGACTCCATTTGCTTCGAAAACACCACCCGTACCCTGTTACTAACCCCAACAACTTTCTCCTCATTATCAGGTTTTATTCTTCCACGTTGCTACCCTTTTCATCTCTCTCTCTCTGTCTCGTGCACTCTCTCTCTCTTTTTCTCTCTCTCCCATTCTCTTAACCTCGCTCTTTTTCTTTATCTCTCTCTTTATCTCTCTTTCTCTTTCTCTCACTTTCTCTCTCTTTCTTTATCTCTCTTTTGCTCGTTCTCTCTCTCTCTTTCTCTTCCTCTCTCTTTCTCTATTTCTCTTTTGCTCGTTCACTCTCTCTTTCTCTTTATCTCGCTTTCTCTTTCTCTCTGCCTCTTTTTCTTTATCTCTCTCTTTCACTTTCTCTTTCTGTCGCTCTTTCTCTCTCCCTCTTTTTCTTTATCTCTCTCTTTCACTTTCTCTTTCTCTCTCTTTCTCTCTCTTTTTCTCTTTCTCTCTCTCACTCTCTCTCTCTGTCTCGACCACTCTCTCTCTTTTTCTCTCTCTCTCATTCTCTTAACCTCTTTCTTTTTTTCTTTATCTCTCTTTCTCTTTGTCTCTCTTTCTCTATCTCTCTTTTGCTCGTTCTCTCTCTCTCTTTCTCTTTATTTCGCTTTCTCTTTCTCTCCCGCTTTCTCTTTCTCTCTCCCTTTCTCTTTATCTCTCTCTTCCTCTTTCTCTCTCTCTTTCTCTTTCTCTCTCTTTTTCTCGTTCTCTCTCTTTCACTTTCTCGTTCTCTCGCTCTTTCTCTTTTTCTCTCTCTTTCTCATTCTCTCTCTTTTTCTCATTCTCTCTCTCTATCTCTTTATCTCTCTCTCTCTCTCTTCCTCGTTGATGATCATTATGTTTATTTAACAATGACAAAAGCATGTGGCACCCGGTTCGAATCAAACTCGCTACTCAACTAATGAACGATCCCATCTCACCTATTTCAATACTAACCACTCTGTATAAAAAAAGGCTCTTTAACTACTAACGATCAGTTTAGCGCAATAAAGCTTTTCAAATTGATATTCAGCGTTTGTCTATTCATTTCACTCAGTAGCAATGCTCAACTATATTAATTATTATCCCACACTGAGGCGACGCCTCTCTTCTCTCCTCACCGTTGTAATCAATTTGATCAACACAGCGACATATATATTTACTCTTCAGCAATGATTCCAGAGGTAGAGAGTTTGAGTAAATATTTTAATGAATTTGCAATGGTTCCACACCGATTTGGGGCCATCCCCCACTTTGGTATTTCTAAAATTCTGGTGCCTCCGTATAATATTTAAATTCTTACATATTCAAAATTGTACTGCAATTCACGTGAAGGAAGCTTAAAAAGCCATCAAATGGTTCTCTAAACAAGCCTCCAAAGATCATGGCGTTCATGAAAGTGAATTTTTTTTAAAAAAAAGCAATAGGACAGTTAATATATATATATATATATATATATATATATATATATATATATATATATATATATATATAGCATAATGAAAAGCCACGTATACTTTCTTAATATGTATATATAGAAAAAGTTTCAAATTAAAAATTATAATGTTTTATTTTTAAAGTATTCATTTATTTATATATATATTTGATATTTCAAATTGTCCTCAATTTTTTCATCAGAAAATAACTGTTTTGTTACAAATAAATAGTAAACAAACAGTAATTTTAATTTTTATAACAAAAAAGTTATTTCTGATGAAAAATTGAGGACAATTTCAAAATATATATAAATAAATAAAAATAAAATAAAACATTATAATTTTAATTTGCTTTTTTATATATATATATATATATATATATATATATATATATATATATATATATAGATAGATAGATAGATAGATAGATAGATAGATAGATAGATAATATTAGTGGAAAATATACATATATATGCAAAATATATAAAAATACCCATGCATGTATATTTTCAGAAAAAAAATTCCAAGAGGAAGAATCCAGGTAGAACTCAATGTCTAGGACAGAGTAAGGATGTAATAAAAAGGCTTAAACACTAATATTCCATGGTCATAATTTATTCCATTGGAATCGTAAATACGATCCAATTCATCAGACCTACAAATTCAAAATGAAAGCAGAAAAAAACCACTCCGGAAGTGGAAATAGATTTGTAAATATGAGGAGGAGGGAGATTGAACCTTAACAGAGATAATTTTAGGAGATGTGGGGGGAAGGGTTTTAAATAAGAGAAGAGAATGAATTTCGACGGATGTCTAATGCATAAAGATACATTTCGTGGTGACATATATACACCATAGACAATTTAATGCTAGAATAAGAAAGAGGGGAAGGGGAAAGAGGAGGTGGGGGGAGAGATGGGACGAACGAAAGTAAAATTGCGTTTACTTAAAGGTCCGCTTTGTAATTGAGAAAATTTGACAAAATTAATATCGACTACAGGTTACAAATCAAATATAAATATATGAAGATAAATATAACGATTGTCTAATCCAGCAAGGACCTATATTTCTATGTTCAAAGACACATGTGAATACACACAATAACATATACATGTATACACATACATACAGGCGTGTACCCACACACACACATACATACGTGTACACACATATATAAAAATATAAAATATATTCACATATCACACATACACATATTCATCTATATCCATATACACACACTTTTCACATACATATACACTCATAGACATGCACCCATGCATATACTCATACATACATACACATACATACATACACACACACATATATATATATATATATATATATATATATACATATATACATATACAAATACACATACACACACACATATACACGTATATGCGTGTATGCATACATACACACACATATACATCCATACACACATACATACATATACATATACATATACACATATATATACCCATATATATATATATATATATATATATATATATATATATATATATATATATATATATATGGAACCATGGAATATTAGTTTTAAGCTTTTTATTATATATATATATATATATATATATATATATATATATATATATATGTATATATGTATATATATATATGTAGTTTCAAAACATAATAGGGAACTGAAAGGCAGAAATATAAAATATTTGAATGAAAGATTTATTCTGTAATATACTCTGATCATTTTAATCATGAAATAATGATGTAAAATGACATTTGAGCTCACTAGAAAACAATTCACTATTAATAACTCGTTCTCGAATTGTCCTCTTATTCTGTTGGCATAGTAAGCCGAATGGTACGCATCTTATGCATGCCTACCAAAATATTACCATACTCCACCGGTGATGCATGCGCCCCACTTCGGGAATCATGGATTTAGAGATTTTAGTAAGATCAAATTTTGTATACGGTAAGAGTAAAGTTACGAATATCGATCGACAATCGTCACTCTCCCCAACTTCCTGTTTTTGTTCCTCAAAGTAACTTTGAAATGTTGCCATCTTTCTTTTCTTGGTTCCAATCTTGTGGAACGATTGCTAAAAATCCCCCTCCCCAAATTTATAGTCATACCCTACAGACTCATATTGGCATTTTTCTTAATCACTAAAATTAACTATTCTTGCTTTTATCCCCAATTGTTCTTGCCTTCAAGTCCGGCCATAATAACCATTTGAGTGTATCCCGTCTTTGTATAACTACTGTTTCTCTTTTTTACTGTCTTCACTTGGCTACTGTCCTCTACAAGGCTACAACAGTTCTTATAAACTGGCTATTATTTTACACATTTAATCATTTAACAGATATTAAGACGTGATTAAATGTACTTCGATGTTTTAAAAAATATTCAGATTATTATTGTTTAGGTAATAAGCATTATAACATAGCACAAATAGCTATATCGTGCAAAAAGGAATTTTCGACAATATACGCATATTTTACGAATTTATGGCAAGGATTATGGCAGCATTCACCAACTTGATACGTAAAATATATATTTTTTAAACATTAAAGTATATTTAATCACATCACCCTAACAGCTGTTGAGATCTGGTAATTAAAAATTAACAGATCTCGACTGCTGTTACGAATATGTGATTAAATATAAATTAATTTTTAAAAATATTATTCAGTATTATTGATGTTTACATAATAAGCGTTATAACAGCACAAATAGTTATAAGGAATTTTCGACAATATACGTATTTTTTTACGTATTTATAGTTATTTTTAACTTTTATGAAAAATGACATGCAGTTATCTATAATACAGTATAATAATTACTATTTTACTTATTAGTAACTATTCATGCTCACTTGTTGAAATTAATAGCTATCTGTTGACGTGTTCAAATTTTGGAATAATGCAATAATAAAAATTTAAATTTCATCTCTCTGATATATGCCCGTTCTGTAAATAATCCTTGAGGTTGATATGCCGTAAAATATAAAACACACACACACACACACACACACACACACACACACATATATATATATATATATATATATATATATATATATATATATATATATATATGCGTATGTGTGTGTGCAGATCTATAGATAAATAGGAAAGAACACGTTAGGTAAATAATCTGAAGTTCTTTAGTATTTTTGTTTTTATTTCTAAAAAACAGTGCTCAATACAAAAGTAGAGCCTAAATTATAATATATATATATATATATATATATATATATATATATATATATATATATTAAATTATAATATATGTGTGTGTATGTGTGTGTGTATGTGTGTGTGTGTGTGCAAATCTATAGAAAAATAGAAAATAGATAAATATATATTACCAGCCATGAATTTGACTCTTGACAAAACCCCTTTTTCTAAATATGCGCCAATGAAAGCTGATTTACAAACTGATTTCTTACAAAGAAAATATATATTTTATTCATACGAACCAATCCTAAAAGTCTTATTGTCATTAACAGCCCGCGACAGCTATTAGGGAGATGTCATTAAATATACTTTAATTAGGGAGATGTCATTAAATATACTTTAATTAGGGAGATGTCATTAAATATACTTTAATGTTTAAAAATTTAATCAGTATTATAATTGTTTAGGTAATAAGTATTATAACATAGCACAAATATCTATGTTGTTAAAAAGGTGAGTGAAATTACCTGAAATAAAACTTAAGTACCAAGTTAGGAGATGTGTTTGCTAGATTAAAAGGAGCACTTGAAAATATATCTAGTGAAACAATTAACCATTGTATACAAAAAACTATAAAATGGTTAATTTATATTATGAGAACATAAAAACGAAGATGTATAAAAATAGATAAAAAAAAAATGGTGACCCGCCTTCACATAGGCCACACCTACATCACCCACCATTATTTACTAGAGGGCACAGAATCCCCAATATGCACTACATGCCAAGAGAAATTTACAGTAAAACATATACTGTTAGAGTGTGTAGATTTTGATCTAGTGCGAACAAAATATTACCAAATAATTTTAAAAAAACTTTTTACAAAAATGAAACCATCCAAGATTGTAAATTTCCTAAAAGGATTGTACTCAAAAAATATGAGTAATTAAAAAAATGGTTCAAATATAATATATATATATATATATATATATATATATATATATATATATATATATATATATATATATATATATATATATATATATATATATATATATATATATATATATTTTTTTACCAAATTATAGCTATGAATCTATTTAAAAAAATTTGTTGGTATTAAATGACCCACTGAGGTTTTGATATGCCATAAAACAATACAACCAAACCAAACTAAAGCTGAAAATATCTGATTCAGATCTCACTATTACTAGCAATTCTAACTCTTCTGATTTTTGATTTTTTTTTAAATATAAATTACTTTTATTTTTC